CCCTGCTAGAAAATCGCAAATCCAACGCAAATCCAACACACAGGCTACATCCAACGCAAATCCAACCCAAATCTCCGGCGAGATGAGGTGAGGCGAAAGCAAACCGACTCCATCCCCGCCACCAGGCTACATCCCAAAATCCCCCACCCAAATCTCCATCCTTATGCCCTCATCGCAATATAGATCCATGAAATTTACTCCACATTAGGAAAGGGGATCGAGTACACACCTTCGGCAGCACTCTGTGACGGGGAAGCGCGAGTTCGGCGGAGCAATCGCCGCAACACCGATGAAATTGCTAGTCACCGCCGTCGGGGAATGCGAGCACTGCGAGGTCGCCGCCGGTGGGGAACAAGAGCACCGTGAGGTCGCTGTCGATGGGAAACGAGACACAAGGAAGACAAAACGGAATGAAATGAGGAAAAGGGGGAAACAGATGCACAAAGAGACGGGGAGGGGCGGAGCGGTGAGGTCACCACTCCTACCAGGAAAGCATCGGAGGGGAGGGGTGGAGCGACGAGGCCACCTCTCCTACTTGGAGAGCGTCGGAGGGAAGGGGCAAAGCGGCGAGGTCGGGAGAGCGGCGAACAAGACAATGGGGAAAGGGGAAATTAGACAGGCGCGACTCCCAAAAATTAAACAGTGGCACCGACATCCAGACCCCACATGACAGAGACACAAAGCAACCAACATAGATCGGGCATTCCATTCTTCATCCTACGGCCAAAAAATTCATGTGCCAACAAACCAAGAAACACACATGTGTCCTATAGCATTTCTGTATTGAAAAACTATAGCGGCAAAGCCCTCACTTTATTTATCTCGTTATCTAATTCTATTTGCACATAATACACCAAACTTACAAGTTCCTAGTTATTCTCAGAAGGCAACAAAGTATCCCAAAATGATATAATGGCCAACGCCTTTTTCTTGATCTACGCACACAAAAACAGTGACTTAAAATTTACGAGCATGGATCAACATTACTGAAAGCAAAGCAACTGTAGGAAAAAAGTAGATTGATTATGAGTAAATGAGGCGCATGTACATAAATAGGCAAGGATGATCCAATACTACATAGATGGTAAAACACACATCACTAACTCTCTCAAACTTCATATTAAATACAAAGTCTACTTGTTTCAATAATTACTGGTACACAATGAACATCTGTACATATATGATGCTTGCTCTAATCAGTAGGAACTACAACCGAAGTTTTATCTAAATAAGTGAGCAATAATCTCAGAGAAGTAACAAATAGATAAGCTTGTTGCACTACAAGCCTAACAGATGAGCTAGCTTGCTCTGAAAGTAAGTGTTGGTCCAAGATCGAACAAGACAGATAGGGGAGAGGGGAGTGATGGAGAGAATAATTGAGAGATTGGCCAAGAGTCCCCTCCATGCCTCCACCTTTATAGGGGAGATGGGAGGTGGAGATTTTTATTTATTCTCCTAGTGGGGCTTACAATTACAAATGTGTGCCTACAAATTACAGCCGGATCTTAACCACTCAAAAATAAGACCTTAGCCCTTAGCTTAGTAATTGAGCCTTTTAACACAATAGTGGGGGTTCTAACATATGTCACACCCTAATAGTAGTCCTCAGCTAGTTTTGTTTGGTAGTACAAAACCTAATACTATATGAGGCCCAATGCAACCTAGACTCGGTTGCGAGGATCATCCTTTGCAACCTACACATGTGAGACTTGCTGAAAACTCCATCCCAAAAATCCAATGGAAAAAGGGTATTGAGAAAAGAGCACACAAATGATTCTTATGTATCTATACAAAGGTCAACTAGAGATGCATTTGTCTCCAATGGGTCTTTGGTAGCAAACTCCGATGGAGTCTTCATGATTATGCTTTGGATGGCTTGACCCTTCGTGTGGCCTTGGGCCCTTGATAGTTTTACTTCGTGGATGAGCCTTCTCTAATGTAGTCGATGTAATCGAAGTAAATGAAGTAGTCATGGACGATCACCGTCATGCATTCAAGACCTCACACATGGGCACTAGGTAGCTTGCGTCCACGGGCAAATTGCTTCTCCAATGCATCCCTCACTAGCCCTCTTGATTGGTGTTTGTGAGAGATTCTTTGCGCACTTGAAATAGATGATGTAGACATGGATGTTTTCGTAGATGATGTAGGCAATTAGCCTACTCTAATTTGGTGGAGAAGGTGAAGATGAATATGTCAATGTTGATGGCAAGCCCCTCAAGCTAAATTGCAACTGAAGACGAAGATGATGATGCCAACGAGCCCCCGAGCCAAAAAGTTGGCATAGGTGAAGTCAATGACACAAAAGTAGATTGCAAAGCCCTTGAGCCAAAATGTTGGCGTAGGTGAAGTCGATGACACCGATGTTGATCACAAAGCCTCTGAAGGCAAAAAGTTGGCATAGGTGAAGTAGATGACACCGATGTTGACGGTGAACCCAATATGTTTTGGGATCGAACTCTCACCATCATTGGGCGTGAGTTGTTCCAACTCGTGTAAGCATGGATCGTGAGCCCAAGTCATATACAGGACATGGAGAACATGAGGGCATTCTAAGATTTAAAAAAGATGGAGGAAAAAATAACTTCATCCTTTAATACTATAGGTATATATTAGGGACAAAAAAGAGATAAATGACCACGATTCCCCAATTGTTATTCAACAAGGCAAATGTCGATACAAAAGCTTGGTAAATAAAAGCTTTGCCCAAGGCCAACCTATGTAATGAATTTCGTGCCATTCCCTGGCCCATAGGAGCCTAGATGGGTTGGCCTAACTTGTTGAGATCTAATTTGGAAAAGAGTCCTTTTTTACTGCCTAAACTATCATCATTATCCATGTTTTTTCCTCAAAATCTAAAATAGAACAAACTATCTCCCTTAATTTTCAAAACCTTTTAAATTGCATTCCTACGCCAAATAGAAGTGATTTTTAATGGGGTATCATCATTTTCAATTAACAAATTAGGTAAACACTTTATGGAGCATGGAAAATATCTTTAATGTAAGCTAAAAATACTAGAGATAAATTAGAACACGAGAAACCCAAAAAAATATTTCAATCTTGTGAAAACATATCGAAAAGCTTCTAGAAATTTGATTTATCTCTAAAGTACAAAAAAATAAAAAGTTGGAAATTCTTGAAACATTCTAATCAATGTCTAAACATGTTCTAAAAACTTTCCACCACGAAGATATGTGATACAATCAACATGAATGTATACATACATTAATGTCAATGCATTCATATTGATTGCATCTCATTTTTGTTGTGGATGGTTTTCAAGATGCAATTATACAACAATTAGAATTTTGCATTTTCTGTAGCTCAATTCAAATTTTGGAGACTCCTAAAGATATTTTGATGAGGTCAAAATATTTTTTTTGGATCCTCATTTCATATTCTACCTTTATGTTTTTTTCTTGAAATTTCTATACAATTAGAGATATTTTTCATTGTTTTAAAATCTTATTATTAGGTGTGTTCACACAAGGTGTTTACCATTTTTTGTTAGAAAAGGAATGAGGCCACCTGTGATGAGGCGGTGAGGTAACTTAAACGGTTTTGAGATTTGACATTTGAGAGAGACTAGCAAATATGCTTGTACGTTGCAACGGAATCCAATAGGTCTTAGAAACCGTACTTCATTCAACGAATTGTTCTAACTAATATGAGCACAGATTGTGAGTTTGGATTACATGTGGGTTAAGAAGGACATAAGGGTAGTATTGGAGTTGGATTATGTTTATTGGCATGTAGAGGATGAACTCGAAGTAAGTTTCTAGAAACAATAGAAGAAGAAATAAATTTGTGGTGGACCCATGATATAATTTTTTAGAGGCTAGAGGTAGCTAAATTGAAGCTTTATCATAGTATGGATATTCACATAATGCATCATTTTGGGCAAACAGTCTCTAAAAGAAATTTATTTATAAAGCTAGAAACTCAACTTACCCAACTACTACATCCCACACGTCAGTTCAAAGTCTCTGAACCATCTATCTCATGCCATGTCGATTCTCCCTAAACTCCCTCTCTATCCACCGCCCTTGTGCCCACCCACCCTGGCACCCTCTCTCTCCATCTCCACAAGATTTCTTCCGTGACCTCCGTGTTCCCCTTTTGTCATGCTCTCGACTACTCGCTCTCAAGTCTCCACGAGTTCAATCTTCCTCATCCCCGCTAGCTACTCCCTCTTGAGCATGACCTAGAGGCACGTGTTGTGAGCGCGGCATGGCGCGAGTAGCGCATCATGACCGTGAGATGCCTTACTCAAGACCCGTCACCGGCATGGGGGCGAGGTACCGGAGGGCGAAGGGAGGAAGGCTACAATGTGCGATGCGAACAAAGCACACAAAAAACGCAACTCGAATCAGCGATTTCACATGAAGCCAGTACCAGATCATGAATGAGACAGCCAGATCACGAATAGTAACATGAAACTCTTTACAAGGGAATTATTGAGAATGAAAAAATAGGTTGAAAAAATTGCTTCGCACTTTAGTATTAAAAAATAGAGATAGAGAACAAAGATCTAAGATAATATTTGTATAATTTCTACTCTTATCTTTTCTATTTGGATTAGTATTCCTATTCATGTTATTATTTATAGTTTTAAAAACTTATTGTGAGGTGTTTACCATTTTTTATTAGAAAAAAATAGGCAGAGAGGTAACTTAAACGGTTTTGAGATTTGATAGAGATATAGTTTGTCCGATTTTAGAGTAAAAAAGAGAAAACTTCAGCAAACGAAGGCAGAAATGATTCTTTTCCCCATCCAAATTCCTGGTCCTGGCTCACCTGCAGTGCCTTCGACCGGTCCAGCCGCACTGAACCCATGGCCCCACACTGGACAGCGTGTTCTGGGCCCAACCCCGCAGTGAAACACGCCGCACAAGCCACGCCGGCGACGCGACGCAGCACGCAGCCGTTCCCCAAAAAAGGCCCGAGCCAACCAGTCCACCGCCGCCCGAAACCCCAGCCGACCGGCGGCGGCGGAGATGTCGCTGTCCTCGGTGAAGATCGGTGAGGAGGTGTGGCTCACATGCCTCTCCCACGCCCTCACCACCGAGACCGAGGAGGTCATGGGCCTCCTCCTGGGCGACATCGAGGTCCGTCGCACACCACCTGATCCTTTCAGTTTCCCCATCTCAGGAATGCTTGGGTGGATGTTTTGGTTTTCTCCTCTGACGGGATCGTGGTTGTGGTTGGTTTTACTTGCCTGCCTGTAGCTTTCCAGCAAGGGCGCCACCGCCCTGATATGGGGGGCGTCGCCGCAGATGAGGTGCGAGCGGAAGAAGGACCGCGTCGAGGTCAACCCCGAGCTTCTCGCCGCCGCATCCGCGCAAGCCGAGATATCCTTTTCTCCGCTCCCTTTTTCTTTTCTGAGATTTTGCTTGTTCCTCTCCCTTTGGTTCTGTGTGGAGTGGTATTGATTTTTCTGGGGGCTGGACTTAACTCCTGTTCGCACAAAATGACGGCCACCATCAAGAGGACTACGAGGGTGATCGGATGGTACCACTCGCACCCACATATCACCGTTCTGCCGTCCCATGTAGGTAAGCAATTCACATTTCCTCCACCGGCGAATCATTTTGTGCCCAGGGTTGCACATTTGTGCTTCAACTAGCTCAAGTGCCCTCGGTTTGATGTTGGCATTTGTCTCACAGAATAGCTGTAATGCTGTCAAATATGTGTCGGTTCGCGTACATGATTTAGGAATTTCCTGATGATGTTGTTATTTGCGAGCACACTCTTTTAAGTGATTTATCCCTTACTAGGTCCCAACTGATGTCCACTTGCCATTTCTTATAATGGATATCAAGTATGATAGCTGCTGTTGGCACTAAGTAGCTTTGCTTTTGAGTACTCGGACTTGGGAACATGCTAAAAATAGACATTAGCTTTGCTCCAGAGGTTCAAGATGACAGTGACATATAATTTCCTTCATTACAAAGGCAGAGGGTCCATTTGTTGACCATTTGATGGTGGCTATGGTACTATGGAGTATGGAGGTCTTGAGAATTTGCTAGTGTATCTGCTTTTATGGGCTTTTCTCTTCATTCTCTTGTGAGATGCTGCCCATATACAATAAATTCAAACTATATTTTGTATAACCCCCATGAGTCGTATTTTCCAGATGTTCGTACCCAAGCAATGTTTCAGTTGCTGGATACAGGCTTTGTGGGCCTGATATTTTCTTGTTTTAGTGAAGATGCTCAAAAGGTATAATGCTTATAAACTCCATATGAATAACATGTTCATATCCTGTTTGGAGTACATGTATCATTTATTAGTATTGCTTGGATTTTGATATTCACGCAGGTTGGAAAAATCCAAGTGACTGCCTTTCAGTCAGAGGGTGGACAACAGCATGCGCTTCCTCTTTCCACCATCGCTCCAGTCATTGACCTTGATTCATCCTTTAGTTCATCAGATAATGCGTTCGCTTCACATTCTGCATCGGTTGAGGGCATGGAACAGGATACAGGGGATTCCAGGGCCTCAAAGAATAACAAGGTTTAGTTCGATACCACATGTACTTACAGCATTTATTTCATGGCCTTTTCTGGTACACCTATATTTTCTGCATGATACAAGAAACTGTGCATATTTTGCTTGCTAGAAGGAGAATGCCTAAAACAATAAATGATGCTGGAAAGCTGGGGGAAAAGATTAAGTTTGCAACGCATCGCCCAAGTCATAACAGTTAGTTAATGCATAGCTGGTTGTTGAATTGAATATGTCTGGTCTTTTGTAGCCAAAGGGCGCCTAGCTCAATCGGTTAGGTGACCCAGCGGCACTCCTCAGGTCCTGGGTTCGACTCCCCGTGGGAGCGGATTTCAGGCTGAGGTTAAAAAAATCCCCTCGCCCGTCCCCATGTGCCAAAGCGCAATGGAAGGCTCCGGCCCGGTTCTCAATGGGTTACGGCACCTCCTGCGTCAGGATAGGGGCGGGGGTCCGGGGGTTTTCTTGATCTGTGTGAGAACTTCTTCTTAACGGAAAACCCGGGGGCCGTCATAACCCCCCGCAGGTCGAGTTTTTTTTTTGTAAGCATTTTGTTTAGGGATTTTTTTTTGTTTGAAACTATTTATAGATATGGAAGTTAGTTCCAGCTTTAAACATTGACCCACGTTAATCAGTTAAGTAACCGTGCTGTTTGTGTCCTGAAGCTCCAGGCAGATTCCCTTCTACTTAAATGATCTGGTTCAGTTCGATTAATTAAGAAGCATCTTATGGTGCTTAGATGGCACCACCACTCGAAAACTATTCACTGCTGATTAAGAAAATTTTAACTGTAGGCTTACAAAAATAAATTACTGAAATGTTCTTTTATCTTGTCAAATTTTATAATATGCTTTCACTCGCTTGTTTGGATGCTGCCATCGCATGAGAGTAATTAATGCCCTCCATGGTTATCTTTTTATTGCTCCATTTCAATTGGTTTGGTAAATCGTAAATCATATTGCTAATAACTACTTACCATCATTTTATATTGTGTCTTTGGTTTGGCTACAAGCCTACAACTGTACATTTTTAGATTCCAATTCGTTGAAGGTATTTACTAGTAGATAAAATGCCATGCCTTCCTAATGGAAGGGTTTGCAACAGGAAGTGATAAGCACTCATATTTCATATTATTTCATCTTGATAAAATACAACCATGTGAGACCAAGTATGTAGCCTTCCACATTTTTAGACATGGGGCCTGTTGGAAAAAAAACTTAAGTGCCTTTTTTATAGGCACCTTTAGAAGCAGAGTGTCAGATTGCAGTTGAAAAGTGGGCTTCATTACTTCTAACCATCATGTGTAGTCTAATTTCATTACTGCTTTCACATTCCAGAGTAGAGTATAAACACAGGTGAATAATTTGTCTGTGATTAAGAACATATCGTGACATATCTTTTGAGGGGCAAGCTTGTCTGCTGATTCTATCAATGGGGCATTTTGTTGCCTGTTCTGATATTTGCTGGGGCCATGTTGCTTAGTTGAATTTGTGTATCTCACAAGTATCATTTAGTGAGAATATGTAATACCTTGTGCTGTGATAATTGTGGAGTAAGCTTGTTTCTCATAAGAAAAGAGATTTTGTATACACAGTATGTTATTAGCACTGTGTTTTTACTAGCTTATTTAGTAAATCTTTGTTGAGTTGTCAAATGGCTCAATTGGGTTCAACACTGCTAATCGACGCATTTCAATTATTCATGGTGCTTGTTTTCATGCCTGAGCCCTTAGGCTATAGTTCATGCAGTTCTATGTTGTGCCTACTTACTTACTGGTATACAATATACTGGCAAACTAACTGAACTTATTTCTGATTGTGATAGGCCTGGAAAAGATCTATGGATTTCTACTCTCATCCTGACACAAACCATTCCACAAATTATCGACCCAGAGAAAACACGCTCATTCCGTACAATCCTGATAACACACAAGAAGCGTCTGTTGATCCATATGATTCAGATATGACTCCAAGCCTCCAGGAGGCTTTGCACCGGTCAACTATGGACATAAGGTATCCAAATAATGAGTAATCTAAATCATTTTGTTTCTTGAAAAGGTTACAGTAACAATTACAACAACAACAACATAGCCTTTCAGTCCCAAGTAAGTTGGGGTAGGCTAGAGTTGAAATCCACCAAGAGCCCCAAGTTCACGGTTCAGGCACTTCAATAGCTGCTTTCCAAGTACTCCTATTCAAACATAAATCTCTATGTATATCCCAAGCTTTTAAATCTCTTTTTATTGCCTCCCCCCATGTTAATTTCGGTCTTGCTCTACCTCTCCTCATATTATTAGCTTGGCTTAGGACTCCACAATGCACTGGTGTCTCTGGAGGTCTCCTTTGGACATGGACAAACCACCTCCACTGATGTTGGACAAGTTTTTCTTCAATTGGTACTACCTCTAGGCGATCACGTATGTTATCGTTCCGAACTCGGTCCATTTTTGTGTAACCATAAATCCATCGCAACATACGCATTTCTGCAACACTCAGTTGTTGAACATGTCGAATCTTTGTAGGTCAACATTCTGCTCCATACAATATAGCCGGTCTAATCGCCGTTCTATAGAACTTGCCTTTTAGCTTTTGTGCTATCCTCTTGTCACAGAGAATGTCAGAAGCTTGTCGCCACTTGATCCACCCTGCTTTGATTCTATGGCTAACATCCGCATCAATATCTTCATCCCTCTGTAGCATTGATCCCAGATACCGAAAGGTATCCTTCTTAGGCACTACTTGACCTTCCAAACTCACATCTCCCTCCTCCTTTACAACTCTGCCAAAGTCATATCTCATGTATTCGGTTTTAGTTCTGCTCAATCTAAAACCTTTAGACTCAAGGGTCTGCCGTCATAACTCTAGTTTCCTATTTACTCCCGCCTGGCTTTCGTCCACTGACACTACATCATCAGTGAACAACATACACCAAGGGATATCCCCTTGTATGTTTCTGGTAACCTCATCCATTACCAAGGCAAAGAGATACGGACTTAAAGCTGACCCTTGATGAAGTCCAATTTTAATCGGGAAGTAATCTGTGTTACCATCATTTGTTCGAACACTAGTCACAACATTGTTGTACATATCTTTGATGAGGGTCACGTACTTTGATGGGACTTTATGTTTGTCCAAAGATCACCACATAACATTTCTTGGTATCTTGTCATAAGCCTTCTTCAAGTCAATGAAAACCAAGTGGAAACCATATAACATTTCTTGGTATCTTGTCATAAGCCTTCTCCAAGTCAATGAAAACTAAATGGCGGTCCATCTTCTGCTCTCTAAACCGCTCCATAACCTGTCTTATTAAGAAGATTGCTTCTGTGGTTGACCTTTCAGGCATGAAACCAAATTGGTTTGTTGATATCTACGTCGTTCCTCGCAGGCGCTGCTCGATGACTTTCTCCCATAACTTCATAGTGTGGCTCATCAACTTAATTCTCTGATAATTGGTACAACTTTGGATATCTCTTTTGTTCTTATAGATTGGTACCAATATGCTTCTTCTCCACTTCTCAGGCATCTTGTTCGATCAAAAGATATTGTTGAACATCTTGGTTAGCCATACTATAGCTATATCCCCGAGACATCTTCACACCTTGATTGTGATATCATCAGGGCCCATCGCTTTGCCCCCTTTCATCATTTTCAAGGCTTCTCTGACCTTCGATTCTTGAATCCTCCGCACAAAACGCCTGTTAGTGTCATCAAATGAGTCGTCCAGCTGAACGGTGGTGTTCTCGTTCTCACCATTGAACAATTTATCAAAATACTCGTGCCATCTATGTCTGATCTCATCCTCCTTCACCAAGAGCTGCTCCCTCTAATCCTTTATGCACTCGACTTGGTTGAAGTCCCTTGTCTTACTATCGCAAGTCCTAGCCATCTTATAAATGTCCTTCTTTCCTTCCTTCGTACTCAAACATCGGTAAAGATCCTCATAGGCTCGCCCCTTTGCCTCACTCATCGCTTGTTTTATAGTCTTCTTTGCCACCTTGTACTTCTCTATGTTGTTTGCATACCTGTCATGATACAAGCGCTTATAGCACTCTTTTTTTTAATAGCCTTTTGCACATCTTCATTCCACCATCAAGTATCTTTCGAGTCGCATCCGCTCTCTTTGGTCACTCTAAGCACCTTTGAAGCAACCTTTCGAACGCATGTTGTCATCTTCTCCCATATGCTGTTTGCATTGCCTTCATCATTCCAAGGGCCCTCTTCAATGACCTTTTCCTTAAAGACCTTTGATGCCTCCCCTTCTAATTTCCACCACTTCGTTCTAGCAACCCTAGCTTCTTTGTTCCACGAGCTTGCACCAGAAAGCCGAAGTCAGCCACCACCAGCTTATGTTGAGCGAGCATACATTCTTCAGATATCACCTTACAGTCCACGCATGTTCGTTTATTCCTCCTTGTAAGGACAAAGTCGATTTGACTAGAGTACTAGCCGCTACTAAAGGTCACTAAATGAGACTGTCTCTTATGGAAGAAAGTGTTAGCTAATCATCAGATCAAAAGCTATGGCGAAGTCTAAGACTTCCTTTCCCTCCTGGTTCCTACTATCATATCTGAAACCCCCATGAACCGCCTCGAAACCTGCACTTGATGTACCTACATGGCCATTAAGATCACCTCCTATAAAGAGCTTCTCGCTACTAGGGACAACTCTAACCAAGCGATCTAAGTCTTCCCAAAAAAGCCGTTTAGCACTCTCATCATGACCTACTTGGAGGGCATACACACTAATTACGTTTAAGACCATATCACTAATGACAAGTTTAACTAAGAAGATCCTATCCCCTTGCCTTCTCACCTCCACCACACCATCCTTGAGGCTCTTATCAATCAAAACTCCTACTCTATTTTTATTTGAAGTTGTCCCTGTGTTCCAGAACTTGAAGCCAGTATTGTCCACCTCCTTTGCCTTCTGCCCCTTCCATTTAGTCTCTTGAACGCATAAAATATTTACATGCCTCCTAACCGTTGTGTCCACTAACTCTCTTAACTTACCTGTAAGGGACCCTACATTCCAGCTACCTAAACGGATCCTAGTTGGCTCAACTAGCTTCCTTACCCTTCGCACCCGCCGAGGTAGGTGTGAAGACCCTTGCTCATTTTGCACCACACCTGGGCGCCGATGTGGCGCGCCACTAAGGATGCGACGACCCGATCCTTGCTCACTTGACACCGTGTCCAGATCGCGACACGGCGCGTCACGGGGGTGACGACCCGGCCCTTGCTCATTTAACACCATACCCTGGTTTCGACATGGCGTGTCGCTAAGAGGGTTACGCCCCAACGGGATTCTTTTGGGTTTCATCTCCATTAAGGTGGCTAAGTTTTTATATTGGCTCGCCGCGCCTAACACAACCCTCCTCCTTTACCAGGACTTGGGACCTGCTATGTTGGGACACCAAAGGCGCCCCACCATAAGTGGAGTTGTTACCGTAACAATTAATGTATATATTTAGAATCTTAACTAGTAAGCAATGTGTAGTTGTACACTACCTTGTAGTCTTGGGATTACCTTGTAATATCATTTAACTCAATTTTATGCAACTTTACTTCCCTAAGGACTCTTTGAGCTTTTCATTTCTTTTTTTCTTCGAATGAAACATGACATTGGAAGTATGCATGCCCTCATCACCCAAGGTTCTAGTCCTCTTTGGCTCAAACATGGGTGGCTTTCTGTGCTTTAATATTAATTAAAAATGTACTTTCATGTTAACCAGGTTTTACCCCTCTTTGGCTCCAATTCAGCGGCCTTCTTGTCAATGCAAAGATACCTTGACTTCCTCCTACATGTTCATGCCTTTTTTTAAAAAAAAAAAAATCTCTTCATGGCTTTTCAAAAAAGAAAATAAAGAAACCTCTCTCATATGGTTATCGTCACAAGTGCCTTCTCTAATGAAACTATTGGTGTAGTGCCTTGTGTTTTTCCCAGCATTCATCTTATTGACTCCATGATGCTTTTTTTTGACACTGCATGTCTATACCATTGAATACACTAAATATGAGCAAACAGGATGTGCCCTAGTGTTGTACTGCTGTTCTATGTTCCCTATACACTTGTTGTAGTGTCATGTCATTTCCTTGAAACCTTATGATGTATCTCATGAGATCAAGGGTATTTAAGTTCATTGTGTACGATAAGTCCAAGATGAAATGTCTTAAAGGTCCTCATATTTGATAAATATTCATGGATGGTTTACCAAAGGCAGTGTGGTTTAATACAACCATCTAGTTTCTAATCCAGTCTTTTTTTTGCCAACAGTGGTGCAGAGTATAGAGGGAAGGAGGTGCCACTTTTTGTGCTCCCTACAAGGTATCTCCTCAAGCTGGACACCACGATGACCTCTTACTGTGATATGCAACGAGTCCTCTTTGAAGAGGAGCAATCAGCATATAATCAAGCTATGCAACAAAATATTTGGTAACTCAAGTTCCTTCTTGACAATACTATAAACAAAAGCCCATGCTTTCTTATGTGGTAATATGTTTATGTGTCTGTTGCAGTGATGGGAAAATTCACCCTCATACATCCATTCACCATACGTCTACATACAACTCCTCTCTCTGCAAACTAATGGAGTATTGGTGAGAGCACAGTCTCCTTGTCTCATTTTAGCTAAATATACTGCATAATGTCAGTTAATTTATGTGGTTCACATTTTGTTCAATAGTTTGAGTCCAGCTGTTACTACGCTTCAGGATCGCCTGAAGGAAAATGAACTTCGGGTGAGTAGACTAGCTTGCATCTTTGGACAACTCTTGGCCTTGTAAGGCACTAACATGGAACCTACATGCGTCAGCTATCTATGTTACAAGAGGAGGCTAAGCAACTTGAGGCTGATACCCAAAGCATGAGAAATGATTCTCCTCGTCGCCTCATGAATCATGGAGCTGGTGGCAACAGTTCACCTATGGCTCAGAGCAGGCATCCTTTCTCCAACCAAGGGAGCCCTAGAAGCCCGAGAGGTGGCAGCCGGAGGAGGGCTTGTTGATGATCCTGTTCCGCCTGATGCGTTGATGAATATTGTCCGTTGTGTGCTTCCTGAAACCCCAGATTTGATGGACGAAGTGCCCAGACAATAGCACTGTACCTGTACATACCCATTGCCGTTCAGCGCTGTGCTGTTGTGGAACCCCAACGGTCTCATTTTGCTTTGTAGTATTGGGGTTCCTTATCCGGTTCATGGTTGGCCTGAGCTTATAGCCTGTACACTGTAGACTCTGTACTAGAGGTTTTCCTGAAAGGCTGAACTGCCGCTGCTAAGATGTGATGTTCCCGGGCAAAAGCAAAGATGAAGGTTGTCTTTGCTTTGTAATTGGAAAAAAAACGACTTCGGTAGCAATCCATTTTCTTGAAATGCTATAGCTCTAAGCTGCAGCCACACCTTGCTTCGATGGTGCCAAAGCTCTCTTTCAAGTGCGATGCGTGCAGTGGCCTGTTGAGATCTTATCTGTATGGCAAACAGTAACCTAGCGTACTCCATTCGAAATTGTAAGACTGTAAGACGTTTTTTTTTTTTTACAAAAATAATAGATATACGCTATGCCTAGATATATAAGTAAAAAATCAATGCACCTATAAAAATAAAAACAATGTCTTATAATTTGGAATGGAGAGTGATGGAGAGTGCCTTCGAATACATAGTAAAAATCAATGTAGTACATCACTACATGATCTTCATGCTCTTAGACTCTCAGAGACGCCTCATGAAAAACAATTGGGACAATGCTTTTTAGCGAATATATTATTTTTTGCTGAAGTTTTTTTTTTGCAAATTGTTCATTACAAAGAAAACTAAACATGATTTTCCTTTCTAGTTAGAAATGAACAATGATCCACCTATATATATATTATAATTATAACCAATAAACAATTCTGAAGCCCAACGAACCAAAAATATATAATAAACATTTATAAATTTGCATTTTGTCAGACAAAACAGCATCATTAAAGGCTTGAAAAAATGGGATAATTGAACTGTTTGCTTGAACTTATCAGCCATGTGTCGACACAGAATTTTCGTCCCGTGCCGAGGACACACGCAGCAAGTTGGAAGGGTCTGCTCGATGAGCTGTAGATCCGCCTAGCTTCAGCGCAGGGATGATCGATCCTGCGCACTCCTCCGGAGACGTGCCAGTCAATTTGACCCTGTAATTGACAAGAAGAGAAAGTTCATCAGTAATTAAGGGCAGAATTTGCCGATGTTGCCACACAATCCTGAATGTGCGGCTCTAAGAGCCGATATGAAAGGAGATCGACTAAACAGCCGATTCCAGCATATTCATGAGAATAAATCGGTTAAAGCCCATTGGCTTGTATAAGAAAAATCGGTTATCATTCAGGGTAAATGTCGTTATTTGAACAAATATTAATTAATGGCAGTAAGATGTCAACCATGATTGATTTATGCTAAGCCAATGATTATAAGTAACTGAACCCCTTTTTATATAAAGAAACAATTCAACATCACTCAACCGTTTAATAAAGATAAATCTAATAAACATGTTAGATCTCATCTATCGCTATGGCCAGTGGGGCATGAGGCAGAATCATGCAGGCCGTAGAAATAACAATAGACTCGACGACCCTAACTCATTACTAATATCAGTGGGGCATGAGACAGAATCATGCAGGCCGTAATACAATAATAAGATCATGGGGCTAACATATCTTTCAACCTATCTTTACTTCAACGGTCTCGTGATACGAACTGTTCGTGAAAATACTCGATATCGGCTAAAACAGCCGATTCAGGCATAGCGCACAGTTAAAGTCATGCCTTATCAGAAATAGATCTATCAAATAACGATCCCCACCCCACGGTGCTAACAGTGGGGTGTGAGGCAGAATCACACAGGCCGTGATAACAGGCCATGGAACGGTTCTCGCTAGCCAATAAATCTACTCAAGACGCAACATGCTTTAACCGCACGCTATGCACGATCAAGATTGACGTAAAACAACCGATAAAACGTAACTCATTGTTTAATGTGTAGATTTGATCAGTTTTAGATTAACAAATAATGGGTTAAACAAGATATAAGGCCGATCTAGATCAATCTCAATCGGGCAGAGTGATATTGCTGTAATTTAGATAAATAATGAAAGCAATAAGCAATATCGATAACTTAATGAATCTACCAAAGACTGTCATTCTAAGGTAGAGCCGATAACTTGACCTTGATCTAGTTCATGCAGTGGGGGTCAACCGGATCGATGCAGCCATACTTGAACTAGGCAAGAATCGATAACTAACTTATACCAGAGTCGTAGTGGAGGTCTACCGGATCGATGTAGCCGTACAAATAGAGGTATAAGCCATGACGGTACTTACAACAAGTAGTGGAGGTCGATCGGATTGATGCAGTCGTACTTGCTGAAGAACTCGCCGAGATCTACTCTACTCCTACTCTTAAGGGGTGGCTGGAGCCAAAAAAGTAAATAACTTGTAGATTGGATTAATTGTTGTTCTTTACAATAGCCGGGGCTTGATATTTATACCCGGGACCTGAGCATGACTCCTGTCTAAGCATGACTCATCACAATTTTGATCCTAAAGAAAGCATTCCTAATTTAAGATAAATTGGACTCTGATCTTTTCCCTTTTTGTAGAGTCCAATATGTTTCGTCCTGCCGCCGAACGTAGCCTTTGTCGTTATCCGCTGGCGCTATCTGAAGAAAGCCGATTCCAGTTTTTTTATCCGAATCAGCTGGTTCCGATCTGCACGTAATTGATTCCTTGATGACATGATCTTGGGAGCTTTCGAGTCCCTGCGACCCTTCTTCCAAATTTTGGTGTAAACACATGCCCCCTAATTTTGGGATAAAAGTAATTTTATTCTAAAATTATCATGTTTGTATCCCTGATTGGTCCACAGTCACGGGTAGAGAACCTTGATCTGGGGTCCACTATTTGTCGCCGCTTACGTCCACTCATGAGCCTATGCCTCAAAACTTTTTACAAGAGCGTCACTGCTTCACGAGCACTTGGATTCATCTTCCCGGACCGGCTATAAAATGCCTATCCGACCCTTGCGAGAGCAACTCAACAATTCAGCCATGTTTCTCCTCTACCTGCCTCCTCGAGCGCTCTCGACTCCGCTGGACCCTCCATGGTCTATCCTTTTGCTATGAAGATCTCGAGCGGCTAGAAGAATTCTTGTGCATAGGGTGATTGTGTCTCCCATCTTAGCACCTTGTTGAGCAAGAGAATCAGCTACCGCGGTTAGAAGAATCCTTGTGATATCGCCTGGGTCTTCCCTCCATGCTCGTAGAGCTGTTCTAGTGTTTGCAAAGGCTAAAATGTGTGGACACTTTCCGCTTGTTTGCTTAATCAAATGCCCACCGGAAAAGCCACAAGCTTCTTTCCAGCGGCTTTGAGAAATCAGTTGGGCATTTGTTAGACAAACGGCCTTTTCCTTCCCTGTCGCAGTTTTATTAACGGGTCGATGTGACTTGGTTTTTGGCCCTATGGGGATTCGAACTTCCTTCAATCCAAAGAGGCCTTAGTGGGTTGATTGCTGGTCAATGTAAATCTTTTGCATCTATCCCATGGCATTCTGTAACTTGGGAGAGCAATAAGTCTGAATCTATTATCTCTTCGTTACATGTTCCCTGAATTCTCGGAGCGTCGATCCTTTTCCGTATCTGATTTCAATTTCACACCGCTGGCGAGATCTATCTCTCTACCTTCCCGGGCTATATATACAGGCCACGGCTTGGGATCGAAAAACAACTCGCTTCACCTCAAACCTTCCATGTCCTTAGTATAGTTCCTGCTTCTTCGTAGGCTTGAGATCGTGGAGAATTGCAAGAAGTTCGCTGAGGAGGCCCTCAACGGACCTGCATCATCGCGTCAGCGTCTTCATCGTCAGGAGGGTACAACTCATGGTGCCCTCACTGCCTCAGGGAATAGGACCGACTCCGTTCGGCCTTTAGGGTCCTCTTCTTTAACAGCTTGTCGCTAGCTCCCTTGTTATCAAAGGAGGCGGATTGACAACGACAATCTGCTTGCCTCCATTGATCGGCATGGCCAGAGTCTCGCTGAATGTCTCTCCCTCGTAGAATCGGCTCTGGCCATGGTTCGATGTCGATCATCTCCCGAGGCCGATTCAGTGGAGGATAGGTTGGCTAAGGCCGAGGCCAAAATCACGGGTGAGACATCTGTCAAGACCTTTGCTCCCTTTTCATTTTCATCCTCAAGATTTTGATCACCTTCCCTTTGAATCTTCTTAGATTTGTCTGCCCAACTAGAGAGCCTTCGATCGGCCGCGGAGCACGCGGTGGGATTCGTCAACGCCAGAGGCGCCGTCCCATTGGTTCGCCTGCACGATATCCCGAATCGCGTCAGGGAGGTCGCTTTGCATGGCGTTCGCCATGGTGCCGCCATGGCGCTGGCTTCCGTGCAAGCTCATTCTGGCCTTGAACTTCGGTTTCTCCCCCATGGTTTTCTAGCAGCGGCGCACCCTGGGGATCACGAACGCCTGATTAAGGATTTCTTCAGTGCTGCTAACTCTGTAGCCTTTATCTCCCAGGCTGATGATATAACAACCAAAGTATTCTCTGGTCCGTAGTTTGTAATAGGTGATATTAGCAAACAATTTCTCTGACTTGAGTGATTTTTTCTTTTGTTTCATACTTTATACTATATGCATCACTCTGTCCATGTTTGCTTTGCTCCTGCGGGCGATACACATTGTACCGGCTTTTACACTTCTGGGTTTATTTTCACACCAAAAGCGATACCCTTCTGGTATCAGCTATTAGAGCTGTCAACCGAGCAAATTGGTTGTCAAGTATTAATCCAAACGTTAGGGTAATATTCCTTCAAATATTCCCCATTCGATTGCTCTGTCGAATCCTTCTTCCCCTTTCAGTGTTTCCAAAATATAAATATAAATATTACCCAACGCATAACACTTGATCCGATAAGGTCTTTCCCAATTAGTTGACTACTTTTGCCAGATTTGCTGTCCTTTGACCTGATCGGCA